TGTGTGTGTGTGTGTGTGTGTGTGTGTGTGTGTGTGTGTGTGTGTGTGTAGTGTGTTGCAGCTTATTCCTCAGTTTAGTCCAGAGTGTGACGACTCGAGCGGAGTTCCCATGGAGCTGCCTGTCAAAGCGGGGCTCGCCGTGCTGCAGGTCGGTAATCACTGCTCAGACTTTCATGGACTTTCTTCAGTTATACTGGAAGTTTCTCCTGAATTTATTGTGGCTGCACATGAACGGATAACGATTACATTGCAAGCTTTATTATAATCAATGACTGTTACAATGTCATTTTTAACATATTGCTTTTTTTGGCAGTATTCCACCGTTATTACTCTGCATAATATTTTATTCAATTTATGCCAGGGACCATTTGCAAAAAAACATTTACTTAGCTAACTTAGCTACTTCCCATCTGCAGTAACAAACGTTTTTAAACTTTTAATTAGTTTGTTTATCTTATTTTATTGTAGGTTTTTCATATTTTTTCATTCTTAAATGATGTCTATTGCACTGTTTATTGTTAAGCCCCACCCACCACGCCAGATTCTTTATTTACACCACCATTGTCGATATGATTTATTTCTTTATTTTAGGCCCTGAGTTGTCCTGGCAAGCTGCTGATCTTCCATACCGCCCCTCTGATAGAGAAGGGACTCACAAACTCGTCCTCAGGGTTCTTCGGCTCCAACAAACCAAAGGTAAGTAACACTCACACACTCTGTACACCAAATACTCACGCACCTCTCAGTCTCCAGGTAATTAATTAGGGGCATATTTTACACAAGTGTGACATCCTTCTGCCAGAGTTTGCAAGTGTCACTGTGGTAAACTCTTAGAAATTCCAGTGGGTGCTGGTCTGTAGTTCACCATCTTGTGCAGGTGAGAGGATAAAGCAGCATTCAGTACAAGTATGAAGAGAGTTTCACGATTGTATGGTTGCATTCATTTTCTTTTCTTTTTTTTCAGTCCATCTTTCAGCCGTCCGAGCTAGCCATCTCATTGGCCAAGGAGTGCGTCAGTCAGGGCTGCGGCGTCCACCTGTTCGTCCTCTCCCAGCAAGACGTGGGCGGGGCTTGGCCGGGGCACATTCCATATCTAACAGGTGGAGCTCTGTACACCTACAGCCACCTCCAGGTATACCGGCAGCTCCTCCCATCGTAGCACTGGAAATGGCACAAAATCAACTACATGAAGAAGAAATCTGTTGTGGTATTTCGTTGAAAGGAACAGTTTGACATTGTGGGAAATCACTTTCTTGCCAAGAGATGGAAAGATTGATGCCACTTTTATTTTTGTCTGATAAATTCAAGGCTACAGCTAGCAGCCAATTAGCTTAGCACAAAGGGAGAATACCATTTACCTAAAACCAAAAGTGGTGTTTTTAAGCTGTATTTTGGTGAAATGATTGTTTGGAACACACATACAGATGAGTTGGAGGTCCCATTGTAGATTGTGTTCCCACTGCAGGGAGAATTGGACAGAGAGCGTTTCAGCACTGATCTAAAGAGAGTTGTAGAGACGGACACAGGCTACAAGGCTGAGCTCAGGATCTATGTCAGCAAAGGTGAGATTTTTCCTTTTTCTCTGTTAAAGTGTGATTACGCAGACGGAGGTGTCCTTTATAAAATACCAAGCATGCAATACACTATCCTGTCCTCACCAGATATGCGTGTGTCCGGCTGTTATGGACTGTTCCTCCCCGGGCCCAGCCCCAGCCGGGTCATCATGGCGACCCTTGATCGGAGGACAACGCTGGCGATGGAGCTCGCACACACCAGAGCTCTGGACGAGACGCAAGGCGTCGCCATACAGGTGGGGTCCTGTTCATGAGCGGGGATGTGTTTGAATCTCCAGGCCAGTCACTTTTACTGTCTTTCTGTCATTTGAATCCTTCTGTTAGTTGGGATTTAATTTAATCGTCGAAAAAGTAACTCAGACGGCATTCGGTTTGACTACAGAGCACACTGTCCCTTTAAAACCACAATCCACCTCTCTCCCTCCTGTTTGTCAGACCGTATTGTCCTACAGCACCCAGACAGGAGACAGGAGGACCAGGGTTCACACTCTGACCCTGCGATGCTCTCGTCACCTGCAGGACACTTTCCGGCAGTACCAGGCCCAAACATTACTCACCTTCTACTGCAAAAAAAGTGAGGAACTTTTACTGTAGATTAGTGCCTTATTGAGACATTACACCACAAAGAATGCGATGCTGATTAACATCAGCAGCAGTTGTTGGAAATATCTATTTGATTTATATGACATTTTTTATCCAATTTGGGAAAAATACCACAAATGCTTGGAAATGAATAGACTTCATGAGAATGTGACTGTAATAATCTCCATCGTACTCTGTAATGTTATCAGAGACTAGTCTGTTGTTTACTTTAGTACATTAAGTGCTCAAGTTTGCAAAAGTATCAATATTATGTCATTGAAGTGACTTTTTGACAACGTTTGTCAATGTCCAATTAATATTGATGCATTAATTATGCAATTTGTAAACAAATGAGACCATGATCAATCTGATTTATAGATTCCCTCATACCTGAGATATTGTTGTTCATGAAGACCAGTTTATTTTCCATAAACATGAGATCTTTCACAATCTAAAGTGACTGTTTTGGGTCATAAAACAGTAGATTCGCCTCTAAATCTGAACTGCAAATATAACGTGGAATGCAACGTATGTACTGTGTAATATATTATATATATTATGATATTCAAATCCAATAGACACTGCCTTCTTAGTTATGGTATAGTTTGTGTTACAGCCTTAAAATGTCACATAAGACGACATTAATGTGTGTTTTTTGTGTTCCCGTCTAGTCTACTGTTCAGTGTTGGAGCGCCCTCTACAGGAGCTGAGGGAGGAGCTGCAGACGGAGGTAACGGAAGCGTTGGCGTCATACCGCAAACACTGCTGCTCGGCCTCCGTGTCTGCTGGACAGGTGAGGTTCAGACACATGAAATACACTTCACCCTTTCAAATGGTTCTTTGTACTCTTAAAAACACGAGGCTCTACTGTTGTAAATGTCTGAAGTGTTATTGTAGAGAACAATCTAAATTCCAGTCTTTACTTTAATCCTTTCTTTTCTTGCCTACTATACCTCTATTCTTTTTTACAAACTTTACTTTACAAACCAGCCTTATCTTTCTCTTGTTATATCCCTCTATCTTTACATTGGTTTATTTTTGATAACATGTGCTGTGTGTGTGTGTGTGTGTGTGTGTGTGTGTGTGTGTGTGTGTGTGTCCTGTAGCTGGTCCTCCCTCAGTACCTGCGAGCACTCCCTGTTTACATCAACAGCCTGAGGAAGAGCGAGGTGCTGCTGCCGGGGCTGCGGAGCTCCATCCACCAGCGGCTGCAGCAGCGCTGCCAGGTGCTCAGCATGGACACCTGCAGCACCTCCACACACTTCTACCCTCTGCTGCTGCCGCTGGTCAGTACCAGCAACACCAGGGATCGATGCTGTGGCGTGCAGTCAACGTGTGGCTGATTTAAAAAGGACTTTCCTTCCGTCTTAAAAATACATTTCAGTAACAGAAAGGTTATCTTTTTTTTATGGCAAAACAAAGTTTCTAAAGCACTGCATTAGTGTCGACATGTGACCTTAATTTCCACTGTCCAAATTGTGGCAATTTCAGTAAGAGTGACTTTCACGTTGACATAGCAACTGGCTCTCTTTGTTTCAGCCTTCGTAGCTTTGACACACACTTCAGTTCATTTCCACTCACTTGTCACCTGCAGCCGCTCTCAGTGGACAGCTCCTGCTCTCCAAACCCAGAGGAGGCACTGCGCTGCTGTGCTGCCAGCCTGGAGCCCGGATCTCTGTATTTGGTGCATGCACCCCTCACCCTGCTGCTCTGGGTGGGCACCCAAGTCCCAGCATGCACCCTGGTGGAGCTCTTCAACGCCAGCTGCTTCTCCTCCCTGCCCTCCGGAGAGGTAAGAGATCAGATGTAGGCGTACAGTACGCAAGCGCTGATACGGTAACAAATAAAATGCCCAACGGAAATCACATGAATTGTAATTCATGGAAATTGTGGAAAAAAAGGCTTCTAATTGTCTGCATCCGCTTTCCCGTAAAGGTTTAAACAATTACGTAATAATAAAAAAAACCTATTGAACCTGAAAGGCTCTAAAGACGCAGACGTTTTTTTTCTGACAGGTTTAATGTCCATTTCTGCTGTTTTGTGTTTCTTCAGACCAAGCTGCCACTTCTTGAAAACCTCCTGTCCATCAGTGTCCGATCCCTCATCAACACACTCAACTCCCAGGCGCCGTGTGCCCGCAAGGTGAGCTGCTGAGCGCCAACGCCTGCGACCTGAAATCACACGGATGCCGTCTCAATATGTGAAGCTGATCAGCATCTCCTCCGCTGCACAGCCCGGCGCTTCTCGCTATGATGCGTTCATGTCGTGTCAGTTTGAGCTGCCAGCTGGGGAACTGGAAAAGCAAACAATGGGCCCTTTTGGCAGCAGCCATTGTGACTTGTGATAGCAGGGTAAACACAGGTGTAGATAATAACACTATGGCCCTGTTCCATTTAGGTGGGCCAGGGCCCTGCTATTGTGCACGCTGGCTCACTGGAGTGGCTGTCACACACACTAAATAGAACAAGGCCATGATTCATTTCATCAATTACACCTGTGTTTACCAGCTGCTATGCCATGTTTTCTATGCTCTAGTCATGTCTTCCACTTGGTGTTATGTTACAAAACAAAGAAAGAGACACAAATACAATGTACATTTATTATACTTTTACTTTTGCAGATGAAGTTATCCATGAGAATATTCCTTAAATAATATTTTTTTCCTTGTGTTTTAACATGTCAAAAATTGCATCATGTCTGTGTTTCTGTCTCAGCTGTGGGTGGTGAAGCAGGGCGACGCCGGCGAGGAGGCCCTGCAGCGCCACCTGGTGGAGGACAAGAGTCCCAACGGAGGGGCGTCCTATGCGGACTTCCTCTACCATCTCCACGTCAACTCTGTCCGGCTTCTGCAGTGACTTCACGCACACATTTTCAGCCCACGGGACGGCGCGAACAAAAGTACTCCGAGACATTCTTATGATGTGGAAATATCAAAAGGCCTGTTGTCAGCGAAACCCAGGCGGTGCATGAAGACATTTTTAAAAGATATTTGTGTGACGTGTTGACTGTGATCTGAGCTGTTCTATAAAATGTGTTGATGATGTTTAATTTATTCCTGTCTGAGAGACTGTGTGTGTGTGTGTGTGTGTGTGTGTGTGTGTGTGTGTGTGTGTGTGTGTGTGTGAGATGCCCACAGTGTGTTTTGTGTGTGAATAATCCATAAATAAACTAATCTATAAAGGCTTTAATTGAACCTTGATTGGGGTTTCTTCCAGCGTGCTTCAGTTGAGGAGATTTTTTACTTTTCGTACGTACTGCAGCTGCCTGTACTGTACTGTCTGCATGCAGTATGCATTCATTTGGGACGTACTACTTCCTCATAACATTGCACCTTGCTTGGACTTTGACTCTCTTCCTCATGTTTCTGCTGAGCAAAGGATTGTGGGTCGGAATAGCCTAAGTGGCATGCCGGCTTACATACATACTGCAAAATGCTACCGGGTGTAGTAGAACGTCCTGGTATTTTTGTCACACATACTAAATCTTTTTCTGGCATACTAGTATGATGGCATGGGTATTGGAACGCACAGCATATTTAAGCACAGTAGTGCTTTGAGCTAAATGCTAACACGTCTTAGTTTAGCGTGTTAGCACGCTTATTAGCACTAAAAACAAACTATAGGTTTGGGGTTTGGGGATTAAATATGTATCTGACTCGCCTTATTTTTCAGGAGCCACTTGATCCAAACGCTGATGGTCCTGATACAAAACTACAAAGTGGACGTTCATACAGAAGCTGTATTATATGAATAAAAGTTTGAACGAGTAACAAGTTGAGGGAGCACACAAACAGATAACAGTTTTATTTCAACCTGCCTCAGAGTTATCTGCGGAATTAACGTCAAGTGGCAACGCTTGAATTTTCAGCCCACGCTGACTGTCGCTTGAAGCAACAGGTCATCCTAGAATCAAGAACAGATGGTCTTTCTATTACCTGGAGTGCTTTTTTATCAGTCTAGATTGTTTTGGTGCGAGTTGCCCAGTTTTGGAGATGTCGGCCTTCTCTCCAATATATTGGGACGAGATGGCGCTCTGCTTGTGGTGCTCAAAGAAACATCTCTATCCAGATACCACGACCCGGTGACTCAAGATAATCCACAGAACTCGTTGTGAGCAGTTTCACGTTGGAGCTATTTTCTCTCCACCAGAGCCACCGAATAATTTGTCAAACTCACACATTTTCTCCGGCATAATGCTTGCAGTGTCGAGCCCCGCTGGCTTTAAGCAGAGCAGTGATGCAACAACAGCAGCAGGCTGAGGCTGATGACACTCCAAAGCTCTACTGAGCAAACGTTAAGGGAACACTTAAAGGGTCTACACAGCAATCCATCCGCTCACTTAAAACCACATGTGTGGACCTCATGGTGAAGCCAGGGAATCACCAAAGTCATTTGGGTTCATCCTGTGGGAACCATGAATGTAGTATAGGTGTTACTTCAATCTGGCCCAAAGTGATGGACTGACTGACAAACTGACAAACTAAAAAAAACACCTGACAGTCTTCAGACCAGTTGGTATTAGATGGACATGTGTGGTTGGGATGGTTTATGGTGCAGGGGAGGAACAAACCTTTAATTTTGATGCATGAAAAACACCTGAAATGTCAACGAGTGTTCTTGTAAATAGAGAACCGATGCTAATATTTGATTTGTTCCAGTTTTGTTCATCGGATAATGGAAGTCAGATGAGTCAATTCAACAGTTTATTTATAGTTTATTTCTGGGATAATTAAGTGGATTAAAATAAATCATCTCAAATTGCATTACAGTTTATTTTTTACATTTTTACTCCTTTGACTTAAAACCCTGATCACAGAGCGTTTAGTCACCTTCTTATCTTCCCAAATTCTTAGTATTGATAACTAAGAAGACATTTAAAAATATGATCAGTTTCTACTGAGGCCTCAGTAATGAAGTGGAGGTCACATGATGCTCTTTGTCCAGTTCTTGAATCCAGCATCACATAGTTTGCTTCCACTAGTCTGCTCACCACTGGCTACGCGAGTAGGCCGTCCTGCTGCGGTGAATCTGTATCCTCGAGCATTTTGGCTGCAGTCCAGTTAGATTCTGGTGGGATCCCACTGACTGAGGGGATGTGGACTGCTGGAGCAGAAGTTAAACTGCGAGCACTCCGTGTTTGAGAGATTTTATTTTTATTTTTCTCAGATCAAGATGATGTACTCTGGGCTGTAGCTACACTACATACCAAAGAAGTGTAGAGTAGGGGAACATTTAAACAAAAATGTGAGCAGTGAAACGACAGAAAGGGGAAATTAACTCGTTCTTTTTTGTTAAAATTGACAAGATTTTGAATAGAGTTTGGTTGGAGGCCAGTTAACAAGCCCCCCAAATGATGAGTTCAGCATTTAAAGAAATATATATTACCATAATATTGCTATAGTGACTTATTTCTCCTGAATGTTTATAAAGGCATGTTACTTTATCTGCAGAGCTATCTCCACAGCATAACACACCTAATCTTCCTGTGATGTCTGAATTATGTCTTTCTAAAAATTAATTTCAGGCTTAATATAAATATTTCTGTGACGTTTCGTGGATTAAACCGTGAAAGCACGTCACATCGTTCAGTTTGACACGTGCATTTTCAACTCACATGGCGGCATGTTTTGAAGGCACAAAACCAGCTCTCTCATATTTGCCCCTATTTGGAAATACGCACGGTGCAGGCGGGAGGAGGTGTGTTCGATTACAGTGCCGCGCTTTGCCATTGCGCACGTTGGCCACCAGAGGGCGACAGAGAGCGACTCCTCCACCGCCTCTCATTGGTGAAGCTGCTGTATTATGTCAAGCTAGACAGATTTATCAGCACAAAACCGGAAAATGATTGATTTTTGCCTTCAAAGTAAACGGCAATTTTGTCCCGCACACGTTCTGGGTCAGAAATGGTGGGTAAACAATAATAATCAGTGATCATTATGAAGCTACATGGATAAATAGAAATAAGTACATTTAAAAAAGCATTTTATTTGTTTTCTAAATCTTATATGTAAAGCAATAGATTTTATATAACTTCACTGAGTTATTAAGTATTAAGTATTAAGTATAAGGCTAAGAGAAAGCAGCTTGCTAAAACGGTCAGGCCACTTTATCTGCATTACTGCTTTTCAACCACAAGGGGGCAGAAGAACCCCCGGAAAATCTACATCTTCAATAAATAGTATGTATTATTTAATTATAGCGTTGCTAACGAGCTAACTCCGTAGCATAGGTGACGTTAAACTGTGCAGGGCTCCATTTAGTTTAGTTTAGTTTAGTTTATTGATTTTGCACAATTTAAACAATTTAAACAATGGTACTGTTATGTTTAAACAAACATAACAGTGCAGGAGCATACAATGAATATGCATAAGATATGACTATGTCAAATATTATTGACAAGATGTATTGACAATATCAATACATTACAAACAACAAAAGAAAAGACAATTTAAATTAAATATTTATAAAAAAAAATAATTCCACAACATACGAAGACAGCTTTTATTAAAATAAAATACAAAAATGGCATTCTTTATTATTACAATTATGTTTTTTTTTTATTATCGAAGCTAAGTTTTATTCTGGAAATTCTAGCAGGAAGTCGATTCACTCCATCCAGCTGGCTTGATTACGGGTCGCTATAAACGCGGTAGCTGTCAGATAGGAGAGAGAGAGAGAGAGAGAGAGAGAGAGAGAGAGACACCAAACCCTGGTCGCCTCGTCTTTCAGTCTCAAACCCCCCTCTTCCACTCTGCGCCTCCTATAAGGCATTGCACCGCTCTCCTACGGCCGTCTCGCTGCTGAGTGGACCCGTATTGTTTTTTTTGCAAGCGCAAACTAACCGCAGTTGTTTGTTTTTTTGTTTTTCCGGAGCTGACAGAAGTAAAAGAAGCGAGAGACCAAGAGGAGAGACATGGCCACGACAACCTGTACGCGATTCACAGACGAGTATCAGCTGTACGAGGAGCTGGGGAAGTGAGTTCCACTCGTGTTTAGTGTTTGGGGGTTTGTTGTTTTCGTGCACGCTTGTTTGGTTTGGATGAGGAAGGTTAGAGTCGCGCGACTGTGCAGGCCAGCAGTGCTGTGTGTGTGTGTGTGTGTGTGCGCGCGCGCTTTTTTGGGGTGACAGCTCTCAAAATACTCTCTCTCTCTCTTTAAGTAAATGTCTCTCTCTCTCTAACAGATGTTTGCTCTTCTCATAATATATTGTCACGTGCGTTGCGAGATGGTCACAAAACAAAACTGCCGTAAATTGCAACAATGTTGACAATATGTGCATGACGCGATATAATATATGCAACAATATGCGCGCGCGCGTGTGTGTGTGTGTGTGTGTGTGTGTGTGTGTGTTGAAGCGCGGATGAAAAGTTATGCAGTTTATAAAAAGTACATGTTTTATATATGTTTACACATGTGATGAATACAGTGAATGCGCGTGCACGTGCTGTCTTTTCTGGTTGCACATATTGCTGTTTCTGAGTGGAATGATCAGATATCTTCCAGAATAATTCATGAGCCATCTGTTTGACCTTTGACCTGTTGTTTGCTGTTCACTGTATCTTTGAAGTCGGAATGAATCACATCTAGATGTACACGCGTTGTATTTAACACAAGTACTTCTTACAGCTATGAACGTTATGTGAAGGCGTGAAGAGCTCTCGCTTCCTCAGCGGCCTCTTTTGCAACATTGTGGTGGCAGATAACACAAGATATGACTTTCTGCACTGGCACCAGCCAAAGACACAAAAACAACTCTCATCTATCATGAAGATATAATAACTGCACATGTATTTGTTGGAGATTAACCAATGACCTGAAACAGACAGAAATGTCTCCGAACCGACAACCATGTCGCTCATAATGTAAAGGACTGTGCAAATATTCCAGCAACATATACATAAAAGAAGATATTATGACTATTAATATTTGTTAAATTGCATTATCATTATTGTCATCAAACATCTGCTTGAATACCACACTGGTGTAGCGCCGTAGGAGATTACTTATATTAAGTATGATAAACATATTACATTATATTAATACTGTCGTGTTTCAGGAATGCTGCTTGAAAGTTCAAATGTTTAGGATGATTACAGTGATATCATATGTTTTTTATTTTTTAAAGTCTGACTTGCTGATTCAAAATTTCTGCCAATTCCGATTTTCTTTCGAAGAACTACGATTGACGGCAAAACTCCAGACTAACTTCTGTCTTCACCTGCCCGGAAATGTCCCGAAAAATAATTTCAACCAGAAGTTGAAGTTACTCTCGTAAACTATAAGTAAATGTAAAAATGCAAAATGTAAAGCATTAGTAGTTTTAGTTATTTATTATAAGCTGCGTAGAGCTCATGTTAGAATGTTAAACAGGTCTAACATCTATTATTATATCGCTGTGAAAACAAACAAAACTCTTTGTTAAGCAGAAAATCATTGGAAGGATTATACAGAGGTTCTCTTTGTCATGAGAGGGGGCCATTTGAGTTCACTGTCCTGGCTCCAGATGCTCTTTAATTGCGTGCTAGAGCTGTCATACAGGAGGCGAATGTTTGATACTAAACGTACCTTTTTGGTGACGCATTCCTTTAACTAGATATATGAAAGCCCAGTATGACAGATTGGGCTGTGGTCCACCATGAACGGTCAGTTGTCTGCTAAACTGATTGCTATAATAATAATAATAATAATTGCAATATTTTCATGTCTAGGGATTATACAAAGAAGGCCAATATGTTTTTAGATGCTACATTTGAGTAAATATTTTGCAGCCAAATCAAATAGTTTACAGGATATTAAACCTTTGTTTATTAATAATGCATTCAATACTTGACTTGTTTCTTTACAGGGCTTGTACAAAGGCAATAACGTAGTCTATGAATATGAGATATGAGTTTACAGATAATTACAATCCCTCCTCAGCATTATGCCGGTTACACCTTCAGTCTACGGGTTACACTCGTTGTCTTTTTGATTTTCCATACTTCATTTTGTTTGGAGAATAATGCAACAAACAGCGCGTTGAGTACAAACGCCTCCGTTCATGCTCGGAGGCTCGGTGCAAAGCGCGACTATAAACAAAGCGTAGCTTAGATTTTGTCGACTCGTTGATTAGTTTCAATGAGTTTCTCCACAAAGAGTCACACAAAAGCACCTCTTTAAATCCCCTGTTTACCAGAGATGTGCTCATACCTTTCTTGGAAATACGTCATTCAGCATGAAGTTACTGTTATTAGTGGACTAATAAGACCAAAAGAACGACCAATTAGTCGACCAATCAACAAAGAGTAGGCAGCCAGATGCCACAGATCCAATGTGAAGGCCTGGCTTTGTTCAGATAAATCTTCGCTTCCACACAATGCAGTCAAAAGCGGCTTTTTGAATCTCCATGCGAGAGAGGGGGGGGGACTAATCTGTTTGCCCCACACTGCAAAAATACCTCTCACAGGCCAATCGTATTATTCACACAGTCACATAAAGCTCGAAGGAACGCGCGCAGGTGTGGAAGGCTTGGTGTCCTCATGGTAACGCTAATCCAACATCTGAGGAGAGCTAATTGTTGCGCGCTCACTCTCTAATGGTGTCACTTTCTCAGCAGAGCTTGTGACACTTAAGCTTTGTGCCTTTTAGTATGTTTAGTATGTCCTCCATATGTTATGTTTCACCATTAAGGTTTCACATTCGTATTATGAAGTTAATAATCAAAGATATCAGTATCTTTTAATTAATTAATTAAAGGACACCGCATTAATGAGATGAATTCTTCACAATTCATTCCAGCACAGACTGTAAACTATGGAGGATTTTCACAACATCATGAACAGTCACACAGCCTTGAATGTTGCTTCCAGTTACTCATTGAAAGCAACAAACCCACATCTCAGAGAAATGTCCTTCTCTCACACGCAGCTGCTAAAAGGACATTTTTGTAACAGCAAGTAGAGCTCATGAAGTCCACCGTTTTCTTTGTTTTTGAGTATCTTGTTTCATGTCAGTTAGACTTTTGAGCTTTTGAGTGTAGATTTACAAACCCTGATCATACAGTCCGTAAGTCTTCCCCACCGCGGGCAGCTTGTGAGACTGCAACCGCACACCAGAAGGTCAGAGTTATCCCGTTACAAAACCCCTCGGCTGCTGAAGGCACCAGTTTTGTTCAAAAATGATTTGAGGTCAGTTTCAATCCCTCATGTGCACTTTAGTGGGTGTCCAGCCAGACTTTGAAAAGCTAAGATTCATGACCTGTTACCCTATTCAACTGTGTGTGTGTGTGTGTGTGTCTGTGTGTGTCTGTGTGTGTGTGTGTGTGTGTGTGTGTGTGCATATTTAGCCCTGACGATGGCTACTTACCTCACAGAGTGTGAACTTTCCAGGCACAGCTGTGGAGTTTGGTGTCAGTAATTTGTTTGTGTGTGTGTGTGTGTGTGTGGCTGGTGTCTTAAACACACCTGTGTGTCAGTGAGTTTCTTGCTTTTGGGTCATGTTTCGCCACAGCGCACCTGGTCGCTGTAGAGCATTCTGTAAGCGCGTTGATTCTCCACCACGACACTTAATCCAGACCAGACCAGACCAGACCGGTCCAGACCCTGAGACGGGGCATTTCAAACACAGCCGGTTGTTGTTTTCATCAGGTGCTGAAACAGTATAGAAATACCTGTTTGTTTCGTGCCTCCACGTAGACATTTTACTCCAGCGTCCGCTCAACTCACTCTCAGGTCAGCTGGTCTCACAACTCTCACCTTTTGACCCTGACCTTGTTGGTTGTTCTGTAACTGCCTCAGTGTGGAGGCAGACCAGTGGCACCAGTCAGCCTTTCGCTGTAAACAGTGGCAATAATGAGACGGGTGGCAGAAACAAATTCCGCTCAATATTTCATCAGCGCTGTCTCGCCATCATTCTCTCCTCCCCCGGAGCGCAGAGCAGAGGGCCGGACTACCGACACTCGTCTGCTGTTGGAATGATCAACGGATGTAGAAATCTAAGATCAAATCAAATAGCAATAAATAATTCAAGAACACAGCGTCAGTAGTTTTTAATAATATCTTCTGATACTGTACATATATTTTCGTTGTCGTATAGTTTTTGTGTGTCCAAATTGCTGCAGTGAACACAACGTCATTTATTTATGGCCTATAAAGCGGCGGACACACACTCTGCCTTCTCTAGTCTCCCCACCTGCACATATATACTATGTATGTATATATGTATATATATATATATATATATAGTGTTGATTAGCAAAGCCCACGACTGCTCTCGTTACCCTCAATATCCTCATTTTGAATCCTAATCACAATGCATTCCAAGATTACCATAAGAAAACGTGATAAATATTTAAATCAATCAATTGCATTCACCTTTCAAACTTCCATTTTCAAATGATATCCCAGGGTTGGGGGATGCCAATGATTGTCACGATCATTTTGGAAGCAATCAGTGTGATTGCCGTGACTCCCCGCTGAAAACACATTGATCAGCGGGCTCATTTCTGTGCATAATCATTCACGAGGCGCTTTACGCGGTTATATGTGGGCGTGTAGAGGGCGGGATGCGAGTCGGATTCGCATGCACATCTCCTCATTTGTCCTCAAGCCAACATTTAGTGTCAATTCTACGCATCGTTTTATAAATGAGAATAGAATAGTTTGCCGTTTGTGTTGAGGCTGCTTAAATGTGTTTCTTATGTACAAATGCATCCAGATATTCAGTGTTTTCAGTCACATTTCAATTCAAATGTTAAATCGCATTCTGTGGTGCCACATAGCAGCAATGGTGAAAATTGCCTGATGCAAGTGTTTGTGCACCATGCCAGGCTTATCTGGGTGAACCAAAGACTAATGCTGGTTTTGTGTTTAAGAGCCCGTTTTAGCTCTCTCTCTCTCTCTCTCTCTCACACACACACACACACACACACACACACACACACGTGCCACATGTGTGCATGTTATTTGGAATTTGCTGACTGTGCCTGGGGAAGCTCTTGGGAGCTTATTAAGCAGACAAATCCAGACTCCGTCGTCTTTTAATGTAGCTAGCCGCAGTTAACGCGAGCAAGTGACATCGAGTCTAATCAGCGTTGGGCCTGGAAAAAAAAATGCCTGCTGTGCAGAAAAAGTTGTCCGCAAAAAGCTTAGCCACAGTCATTAAGTTGAGCTGCGGCCCCCCCACCACTCTCTTTGTCACTCATTAAGAACTTGCAGGTGTGCCGATGATACCTTTCCATTAAAAGATGATTTGTAATGCAATTAGAGAAGCACAGATATCATATTTCAACTGATAGCAATGCATCAAAGTTTAGTAAATGTTTATTTTGTTTCTGTGTTGTTGTTTTTTTACAGGGGAGCCTTTTCAGTGGTGCGCAGATGTGTTAAGCTGTGTACAGGACAGGAGAATGCCGCCAAAATAATCAACACCAAAAAGTTATCTGCGAGAGGTAAGCACACCCATATTTCAGGATTGTTCATCACGTGTTTGCAACTTTCATAACACATCATATACTGCAGCTGGGACCATAGTGGTTTCGTAAAGTTGTGTTTCAAACACCTACAGTGTAGACGGTTATATAAGTGATATCTAACAGTAATTGCCCTCTCAGATGGTGATGCGTAGGACAGCGTGCATGAGAACAGGAGGACAATGGAACGGTTACAGAAGCTTGTGACAGAAAAGTAGAAACGTAGCTCGTGTTGTACTGCCGTGGCCCAACAGTGGGACTGTTTCCTGGACTTTCACCGTGCCCTGTTTCTCAGTTATACGCAACTGGTTTTAATTCTGTGTTATGTACCATTTGAAATGGGCCCCCAGGGGACTCATGGGTGACACAGAGTTAAAATCCTTGTCCACCCACCCATTCCCATTAGCTTGGCCTAATTGGACTTATTTGTGTGTAAGTAGTTTTCCACCATCGTGTCAAATGCGGACAAGCCTGTGCGTGCCAAGGCCGATCTTGTTTGCATTGTCACTTCAGGTCTTAGATCTTTGAACAATAACGACTTTTTTTTTTTTTTTTTTTTAAAGGACTAACAAACGAGAGTATTGGTCAAACAAGACATTCGTGGGGGGGGGGATTTAACAATATGTTAACAGAGGTTTTCCTCCGACAGCAGGGAACAGTTGAAGACTTTATTTGCCGCATCGTTTATTTTAAATATAAATGAACTTATCAGACGTTTCACAACTCCCTCTTCTCACACTTCTGCTGATACGTTTGTGATGTTTCTCATAGTAGAACTCTGATTTAATAAAATCACATGATATATAATGGACATGCTGACTGACGGTGTTTCATGATGTCGAACATTAACGTCACGCATCTTACTGTAGTTTATTTAACTTAGTTCACAGAAGAGCTGTTAACGTTAAACATCAGCCGAAATGGAAAGCCTTTCTTTAGGAGTCATTCAAAGTCATATGTTATGATTTAGGAGTATTATCTATAGCAAATAGACAAATTATGTGGCTGTAAGATTTAGTTCTCCTGAGTACCACCGAAGCATCCTGTAGCGAAGGTTAACCTCCGTTGCATTTTGTGGCGCTCTACCCTTTAATGCTCACTTTATGGAGAGAGGGGTTTTGTAAAAGCACTAAAGGCTCTTAACTTTGACTTCTTTGATAGTGCTTGCCTGTGAATTTGGGGATAGGAAGTTAAGCTCCATCCACTTTTACACTCGTTTGAAATAAATGGATGACGCTAAATGCTTCGTATGTAATATAATGTTTTACTATGTAATTATGTAATGTTTTGCTGAGTTAAAAAAAGGCTGAATGCCATGACCATGAAGAGCCATCGCTGGCTCCTCACAACACCACTTGCCCAGTGTAAATCTCCTGCTGCCCCTCCAGCCTCGTAACCCGAACCCCAAGGCACCGTACTGAACCTTGACTGTTACCCTGCCTTCACACACGAACACACACACACACACACATACACGCACGAACACACACGAATGCGACCAATGGTGGAACAAGCATTTTAACAGGCATGAGCAGAGGGCATCAACCTAGAATGCCTGTTCATAATCTTGTCCTCATAAATTGTCACTTTACCTTTTTTGTGGCGGTTATACTTTCTTGTTAAAAAGTGTTTTGCTGCATGCGGACCATTTATGAAATTCTGCTGTGTTTGTTGTAATGATATGATATGTCATGGAACAGGGAAGTTTTCAAGGATCAACGGGCTGGAGACCAAGTGCTCGAGCGAAGTTGTTTGAAAGTTTTAGACTAGAGAAAGCAGGCGCTTGGAAACGGCGTGTTGTTAATAAATATATTAGGTTATGTTGTGATGCACGTTTGTCATTGTATTTCAACATGGTTCACTCTCATCGGACTCAACAGACACAGTTGGAACCAGATATTTCCTTCTATATTTGGTGGAGACCAAAAATAGAGCTTAAAGAGAGAACATTTTGGATTTACATTTGCCAGTTACGCAGAGACACAACTCCAAATGAATGCTCAAGTTGCTCCGTAACAGCTGGATGTGTATATGAACAACTGTTTGCCAACAAGTTTGCCATTTCAACATAAAAGGGACGACATGTCAATTTAGTGTTCACAACTTGTTTTCTGCTGCACCCAAGTTGCCATGAAATGAGTTATTGCTGGTTTAGATAATTCTGCTTCCCACATTGATCCATTAGTTAACCTGTTTAGACTTAGGTTTGTTGTATTTGAGCCACTGTCACATTATATTGTCAGTGTAGGAATCTATGTGCACGGGTAAAAACAAGACAGTGAGAGCTTTTATTAGAATTTTACTTAACATCAAACCTAAGCAGGATAAAAAAAAAACAACCATTTGTAAAAAATCTACGTCATTTGAATGCTGTGTCCCATCGTCTTTGGCAGCAGTTATGTGACTCTTGTCATATTTTGACTATGATGTCAGTGCAGCAAGCTGCTTTTAATGAGATTAAACCCATCCAAGATTATCCCGCTGCTATTAGCAGGAGGCTAACGGTTAATCCTAACAATTGGCTTGATGAGAACTAAAGCACCACAGATACACTCAGAATAAATGATTCACCTATAAATTGTGCTGTCATTGGGCCTATACGTTTCACTCAAGCTGCTTTATCCGAGGCGCAGCATAATCTCCCTGCTTCCACAATACATTCGGTCTACAGTATACAGGAGGACTGGTCTGACCTGACTGCGCTGCTCACTAATGGATGAGCCATGTTCTGTGAAACAGCAGGGCAACGTTGGAGCCGCTGCATGCTACTTCTACTCCAGACCCTATTCATAGCTCCATGACCTATCTGACATGGGGAGCCGGGTTTTATGGCCGTCATGATGACTTGCTGCTCTACTTTAGAATTGGCATTTGGCTTAGGTCGTTGCTGCTGCTGTTGTTGTTGTGCTATTTCTCAGGCACCAGGTAAGGTCTGAGAGCTTATAGGGTTGCAGCAAATCAAGAGGAGCGTTTGCTGCGGACTGGCAGATGGAGATGGAAGCCGAGAGGAGGGAGGGGTCATGCGAGAGGAGGCACCCCAGGCACTTGGCAGCTGAGGGCCATGCGCCTGTACGCCTACATGCCTTTAGCACGGGACTCTCATCTGACTCTCTCTGAGACACACACACACACACACACACACACACACACACACACACACACACACTCAAACAGATATTCAGACATGGCAGAGGAGCTGAGACTGCGATGCACTCGGTCAACTGCCCGGTGAACTCTATCAATAATCCTATCGCAGCTACAACAAGAAAATCATTTCTTGTTCATTGCTCGTAATGTTACATGCCAACACTCACATCCAGGCCTCTCGTGTGTGCGTGCGCATGTGCTTGTGTGACATCTTCCAATCACTCAACCCCACCTCCATGCAGCCGCAAAAAAGGTCAATGCCAATCCAGCACACATCAACAGGAAATGTAGGACAGGTCTGTTGGGCAAGGCTTCTAGCCAATCACAGAGCTTGTTGGCAGGGATCTCTTGACGGGGTTGCCAGAGGTTGCCAGAGGTTGCCGTGTGGCCTTTTCATTTATCGTGATGATGGAGAGTAGTTGTGTGTGTGTGTGTGTGTGTGTGCGCTGTATGAGATTCACCTGCAATGCAGTAGCAGTGATCTGACCTGGTTTTGGCCAGCCAGCTTTGTGTCGGTGTCAACGAACCAGGACAGATGTAGTCGCTTCAGTCAAATGCGTATTCAACTTTTAATATTCAGCCTCATTGTACATTCAAATTACATTAGCTGTAATTACAATTCGCCTATGAGTAAATAAATCCTGTTTTGTTTGTAATCCCTACTTACCTCTACTTTTTTTCCGAAGATTTTCACCTTCGATTTCAACATATAGTAGCTTAAAATGGGAAGATGACTCTCAAATACACCTTCAACAGGCTCAGAGAGAGGCTTGTTTGCCTACTGAAATGTATTTTTCTGACACTGCGATAATATTTCATCCCAATGGTAAAGCTTCACCTTAAACTTAGAGGCTGCATTATGACACTATGTCCCTCTGTCTCTGCATTACTGTGACATGTACAGGAAACAGAGTGCTGCAGGAATGAGTCTTAAAACCTTTAAATGAGTCAGCATTTTTGCACTTCCTGTTCCCTTGTCTCGTATTCAATGGGTTTTTAGAATGGGATTTAGTTATACAATTTAAAATAAGTCAGTGAATACCCCTCGAATGAGTTTTGAAGTATTAGCTTTTTGTTGAGGGAACCAGTGAGATGCTAACCTCTAGTGGTGTAACGGACCGTAGTTGATCCATAATCTGTATGGATCACGTCTCTCTGCGGATTAATTACACAGTTTAACTATCACAGTGTAGAATAAAGTTTTACTGTCGAACATTATCGTCAGATATTTAGTAAAAATATGATATCGGGAGAAACCAGAATTAATGCTTTCTAGTGGCCGTTCCCTGATAATAATGTTACATTTTGAGTTCTGTATTGGTCAATATGGATCATTAACAATTGGCATTTGGTATCGGCAAAAAAACGTGATCCGAGTTTTCTGATCCTGATCCTCTACTTACCGGGTATACATCATCCCTGCTTCACTCTATAGAAGGCTGCCTCCTGACCTCCCTGACACACAGCGCAGTGCATGCTCAACATTTCCCAACTGGCAAGAGTCATTCTAATGTTGCGAGTCGAATGTTCTGAACAATGGTTATAACGGTCTTTCTGGCTGTCTTTTTACATCCCCTCCTCTCCGGAGACTCACCGCTGATGATTAACCCAGATTTATTCCTCTCCTCTCTGCTCCCCAAACACATAGATTCCTCCACACTTAACTAAATGAGATAACCCAAGGACAGCAGTTAGTGAACAGTCAGTGCTTATGTGTTTCTCTACAACCTATCTCCTCTTGCTAGTCCCATTATCTCCACTTCCTCTCTGTTTTCCCCTCAGGATCAGTCCTCATCTTCCTCCCTCTCCTCTCATTATTGCTGCATCAGAAG